AAACCAACGCCGTTCCTCTTCCTTTATTACTACTCGTCCCGGCCGACGAGGAAGGCCAAGTGGCTCTCTTTGTTTCGACAGGCCAACTATTTATTGTAGCCTTACACCACCTCCTACAAGAAGTTCAAAGTAGGATTTATAAAGGAACCGCAACCGCGACCGCAACCGCAATTTAAAACCATGGTCTCTAGTCTCTGGATTTTAAATATATTTAATTTATAATTAATTACACTAACTCATCTAAGATATATAAATCCCGGCCCACCTTGAAAACGGGCCAGGCCGGGTCAAAAAAATTGAAATTTTATAGTAGGTGGATATATTTCAACCCGGCTCACCCGGGATAAACCTGTGATGGGTCGGGTAGCCCACTAACCCATCATTTTTTTTTTGCAATAAAAATTTAAGTATGATTTGTAGTTAATTTTGAATGATAGGATATTAAAAAATTTTATTTTAAAATTTTATCATGATTTATATTTAATTTTGTATGATGAATTATGACTTATGACTATTAATGATGCTAATTTTATGACTATTATGTTAATTTATAATTAATTTAAAATTATGAATTTTATTGATAATTTTTTTTTAATTTTTGGTGGGCTTGTGGGCTGGCCTGGCCTGTATAACCCACCAACCCGTGGTAGGCCAGGCCAGGCCAAATTTTTTTTTAGAAAATCAAAAGTGGGCCGGCCCACATGGGCCGGGTTGGCCCATTTTGACAGCTCTAATATATATCTATGATATAAACCTCAAGCGTGTGGTTCAGCGATAGGGGTTGATCCACGCTTAAGCAATGTCAGGGATTCGAATACTGCCTTGTGTATGCAGCTGCGTTAAATCTTGGGATTAGTTATCTCACCCTTTGAGGTGTCTCTAACGTAGCGAGGAGATTAGTCATTGCTATCGGCGACGGATACTCCAAGGACGAACCTAAAAAAAAGATATCTATGATAATATACAAATGGATGTAGAGATTTCATTTTTACTTTTTAATAATCAATTTTATTTTTTAACATCATACTCATCTTTTATTATTACTTTATTTATTTAATTCTAAAAATATCCTTAAATTTTAGGTTTTATTCTACTAGTATTCTATCATTGTAATCCACCAATGTTCTTTCTTTGTAATGTCAAAGGATTATTTTTCATCTTAACATTTTATCTTTATATTTTTGTTATTTATTGTTTATCTTTTATTTTAATTATTTTATCTTTTATCTTTTATCTAAATAAAACATGTAGAATTGGTTGCTTGACTAATTCCAAAGCCATTTTTGAATCTGAAACCAAGAGGACAGACTGATACCTTCTATTCCAACATAATTGAAGACTATGTAAAATAGCTAACAATTTAGCTTTAAGGCTAGTAGCCACTCCAATATCTGTCTTAAATCCCCACAACCAATTACTATTAGAATTCCGAGCTAAACCTCTAAAACCTATGGGTCTTAGATTCCCAAGAGAGCTTCCATCAACATAGACACTCACTTGAGGACCACCTCCGCCAGCACACATGAAACCCACTCAAGGACTTTGCAGGTTGGTGTCGCCTCCGTACAAGGTGTAAAGACAGTTTGCATGATTATATACAGCTCATGAATCTATCGAATTTGACTCGACGGCCTCCCAACGAGCCCGTTAAACACATGAGTATTGCGATCTTTCCAAAGCTGCCAACAAATGATTACTGGTAAAATGTGAAATTTCTTGAAACACCGAAGCATCCAATCCAACCAAGACACATTATCATTCCATCGAATCACCTTTATCAAGCCAAAGACCTTCCAAACCCAATCAGCACCACCACACTTAAAGAGTATATGTTGCATGTCTTCATCTGCGCCACCACACCGCGGACACGTCATGTCCTACCCCACATGATGATTAACTAGGCAGTTACGCATAGGTCAAGTTTGTTGTCCGACCTGCTAAACAAAGAAGATAATGGATTCCGACATAGGGAGTCTCCAAATCCATTGCCAAGTACCCCTTGTTGCAACTCTAGCATCACACAACCACCTATAACCGGCTCTGGCAGTGTACTCTCTGTTAACAGAATTGCTCCACACAATAACATCCTTCGCATTAGGATGGAGGCATAGTGTAACAGTCTGAAGGCGTGCCTTGGTCTCATCTGACAACCAC